GCTGTGATTTGACAAGTCATCATCCTTTATAGTAAAAAACAAATCTTCAGTGTTGTAAAGTGGATGTTTGTGCGTTGTAGTAGGCACTTGCTGATTTTTTGCTTTATGGGGTCATTTTGTACACGCGATAGATATAAATGCATCAGTTCGTGCAGATTGCTAAATAGCTAAGAGGGTTCTATAGTTTTTTTATAGTTGTAGAATGAATGGGGAGGAGTGGTAGGCTGGTACTAACTTTAGAGTACTGTTCCTTTTTTAACCTGGATAATTAGAAGAAACTAGTAATCACAAAAAGACCATTAAAAATAAGTAACAGCTCTTAACTTGTGGATTGATCAGGTGCAGCTGGAAATTTAAACAAAACTGCAGCAGAAACAGGGTCTTATCATTGAATCATAAGGAGGCATGGAAATGATTTTATGTTGGAATGGAACAGCAGTTTTTGTTTGGAATAAAAGTGAATACATATTAATGCCTGAGGGGGAATAGGAGAAATAGGCCTGGTATGAACTGTGCATGCCTGATAACTGTAGGTACTGCATACATGCCTGCTGTGAGGTTAACTTTGTATGTGCAGCAAAAGCTTTATCTCTGCAGATGTTTCCACTGGATATGTAGATGCCAAGGAATGAGTAAGTCGATGTAGTTGACTCAAGAGAGCCTTAGTCAATTATTGATGTAATGTATGAGACATGAATTTGAACAAACTCCAGGAGGCAGTGGAAGACAGGAGGGCCTGGTGTGCTCTGGTCCATGGAGTCACGAAGAGTCGGACACGACGTAACGACTAAACAACAACATGAGACATCTTAATGGTGCTTCTATTTATTTCATATTTTGCAGTTGTTAATGTATGAAATTCCTATTGTGTTTAATGTTCAAAAAAGTATTTTTGCTACAATATTTAAATATCCTTTAAGTAATTTTGTCACAATTACCTGACCAGTTTCCCCCCTTTTTACAAAACAGCTAATTCCAGAAGTGAACTCTGACAAGAGGCAGTTGTGTTTTGAATGGGGACCTGGGGAGATGCTGGTGTGTGAGACAGTGTACGGATCCTCAGGTTGGCACCATGTGTTTTTAAAGAATTTACTATAAAAATAGATCAAATTACTGAGATTTGTTTTTCTGTTTACATGTTGAAATTCTATGGGTTTTTAGGAGTTATGTAGGAAGTTCCCTGTTTACCTTTGGTGTAGTTTGATCTCAGAAGCCATGAAAGCTGACCTTGATCAATTGCTCATCAGTAGAGATGGGATATTTGTATTTGTTAATGAATACAAATAGCCCTGGGCCAGATCCCCAGGCACACCTCCTAGAACCTACCCGTCCACTTACAGGTTGCAGCACAGCTGAGTGGGGAGACTTGTCTTCGTGCCTCCTGGCTGGAGTGGCCAGAAGAGTAGGAAGGTGGAGATGTGTCAGCTGGGCTTCATCACAGATTGGGCCAACAAGCAAGTGCTGCACCATGACCTGTAAGTGGACAGGTTGGTTCCGTATTTGTTAACGAATACAAATATCCCACCTTTACATGTCAGTCACTTAGTGTTTATCGCCTTGAGGTTTAGAGGGATCCTTTGAAGGATTGTAAAGGTATTCATTTAATCAAACAGCCAGTTCAGGTGTTTGTGGTATTAGATTTTTAGCCTTTGTTCCTAGGAAACATGAGGCACAGCAGGGACCTGACGTCAGCCATTGTCAGCCTTTTCTTTGCCATAACCATAAACACGACATAAAAGAAATACAGGCTGAATCAAGATGTGCAAGTCCTTGAAATAGAGTTACTGTAAGCCAGAAGAATTTGATGGCACATAACAGCAACAAATGGCAATGCCTAGAGATCCTGGCAATCCACAAAGTGGAGCCCTGAAAAAATCTTACAGTAGGTTTTTAGGCTTTCTATATGTAAGATTTCCTCAGCAGGTGAATCAATGGAGGAGGTATTGCTTTTGAAGCAGAAAATTAAGAAAAAAACAGCCTAGGGTGGCTGTTACAGCTGTTCACACACTTTGCTTCACAAAATTGCAGTAAAATGAGATATTTGATCTATGCTCTTATGTAAATCATACATATTTATTGAGAGATGGCTCTATTAATTGACTGTTAGAATTAACCTTAACAAAAATGTATGATGGCTTCTCTTTATTTCTGTATTGCACTTTTATCTATGTTAGTTGTTGAAAGCTGAAGTTGAAATATATGTAAAAAAAGAATTTAAGAAATAAATGGAGACATTTCTCCTACAGACAGGGTAGTAGTATAAATCAAAAAACTAACAAGTCATAAAAACACTGAACTCATATTACCGGATCACGAATTAGAAAAATATTATGAGGAAAGAAATGTTTTGAATAAGCCACCAATCAGAACTATATGAGGTCAGGTGATTCCCGAAGTAGGCTAGACACAAGGTAAGGTAATACTAAGGTAAAATGTAAAGTTTCCTCTTGACATTTAGTCCAGTCGTGTCTGACTCTAGGGCGCGGTGCTCATCCCCATCTCCAAGCCATAGAGCCAGCGTTTGTCCGTAGACAGTTTTCGTGGTCACATGGCCAGCATGACTAGACACGGAATGCAGTTACCTTCCCACCTTGGTGGTACCTATTTATCTACTCACATTTTTACATGCTTTCGAACTGCTAGGTTGGCAGGAACTGGGACAAGCGATGGGAGCTCACTCCGTCGCTTGGATTCGAACTGCTGGTCTTTAGACCTTGCAGCTCCCAGGTTTTGCGGTTAAACCTGCAGCACCACCCACATCCCTAAGACTGACCATTAAATCCGCTCCATGCTTGTTGGCAGCCCACGCAGATCTTTCAGCCCAGATGTTATGTGCTGTTGACAGGCCACTCCAGCCAGTGGATAGGCAGCTGCCTTCTATACCAGTTGCACCTTCCAGGCCTTTTCCCAAGGATAGTCCCATGAAGGGTGCATTAGAGCAATCTAGCCTTGTGGGTATCAGTTGGGAGTATGGTCTAAACACGACCAGGTCAGCTAGGAATGGCTGTAGCATCAAACCACCTGATGCTGATAAAAAGCGCTCCTAGTGACTGAAGGAACTTAGACTTCAAAGGACAGGAGAGAATCCAAGTTCTGTCCAGTGCCCAGGAGAAGGCAGTTGACCTTCCCCTGGGAACTGGAATGACTTACCTGTTGGGTCTTCATTTTGCTAAGATTCAAAGACTGTTTATTTTTCCACATTCAGTCCGACCAATTTCTGGACTTGCATGGTCTCCTCTGAATAAGGTGTTACAAAGAAATAGGACTGTATGTCAGTAACATACTTAACATCTCTCGTCTCATATTTCCAAATGGCTACGCGAGGTGGTTTCATAAAAGTGTGTATTATGAGTGCAAAATTCCTACTGTGCCATAAAGCTGATGTATTCTTTATTCCCAACTAATAATGGACTAATGGTGTTTAGATGTATTTTTACATGAAAACTTCTCTTTGATTTGTTTCAGAGTATAAACAGAAGGGGCCAGGCTGTCCCTTTGTCTATGTTATTCGCAAAGATCAAGATGTATACTCTCAAACTTGGCGAAAGCTTTTTAATGAATCACATGGAATCTTTGTTGGACTCCAAAAGGATGAGAAAGAAAAGGCTGGAAAGTCAAGGATTGCACAGTACGTGATCTGAAATGTTAGTGCAGTGAGACTGAAGCAGAGATCTATAGTAATTCATCACTTGATTTGCAGCTCACATGCATTTTGCTCAGATGTAAGTCTTGCTGTGTTCAGTGAAGGTTACTCCCAGTTGCTTCTGCCCAGAATTGCAGCCTTAGTATATTAGTCAACATACATCATTATTGGCAAAGATCCTCGTGTGTAGTTATGCCAGCATAACACAAAAGGTATAAATTTGAAGGCAAATTGCCTCAAATTAAGAAACCATGATAGGCATCTGTTTTTGTTTAAATTTTGGTGAATGTGTTTTCATTTCATGACATTAAGGGGAACTGAGACACCCATTAAAAATTAACCAAGCTGGTCTGTAAGAACAAAGTTCACTGATTAGACGATTCGTTTGTTAGGACCCACCACCCAATATCCATGTAATGATTAAAATTACAGTTGTGGCAATCTAGAGCAAGATTGTTTCATCCTTCTCCTGAGACATGCCAGTGGTTAGTTATATATGTTGTTGTTTTAAACACATTCTGATCAAGATCTACTTCTTTTGGTAGATTGGTTCGAGTAAGCAAAAACTACCGTTCAGTCATACGGGCATGTATGGAAGATTCACATCAGATGGCTAGTAAGTTCTTTTGCATTGTTTATTTGAGACTTCTTGACTAAAACAGAACATTTTAGAAGAAATTTATATATGGCTTATGGAAGGGAACTGGGGTCTGCCAGTGTGTCTTACAGAAATTGTCAATTTGTATATCAGTTGGATTAAAGTCTGCTTTCAGTATTACTTAACAGATCAGTCCAGTGAGATGCTAGAAATGATACTAGCTTAGGCATAGAGCTAGGTACTATAGCATTCTCAATGCAGCTAATTTTAATGGTAAAGTAGGTACCCTAAATTGTGTATGTTGTTGTTTAGTCGTTAAGTCATGTCCGACTCTTCCTGATCTCATGGACCAGAGCATGCCAGGCCCTCCCGTCTCTCCACTGGCTCCCGGAGTTGGGTCAAATTCATGTTGGTAGCTTCGGTGATACTGTCCAACCATCTCACCCTCTGTCGTCCCCTTCTCCTCTTGTCTTCACACTTTCCTAAGATCAGCGTCTTTTCCAGGGAGTCTTCTCATGAGATGGCCAAAGTATTGAAGCCTCAGCTTCAGGATCTGTCCTTCCAGCGAGCACTCAGGGTTGATTTCCTTCAGAATGGATAGGTTTGTTCTCTTTCCAGTCCAGGGGACGCTCAAGAGTCTCTTCCAGCACCATAATTCAAAAGCATAAATTCTTGAGTGGTCAGCCGTCTTTATGGTCCAGCTCTCACTTCCATACATCGCTACTGAAAAAACCAGAGCTTTGACTATGCAGATCTTTGTCGGTAAGGTGATGTCTCCACTTTTTAACATGCTGTCTAGGTTTGTCATCACTTTCCTCCCAAGAAGCAGGGATCTTTTAATTTCGTGGCTGCTGTCCCCATCTGCAGTGATCATGGAGCCCAAGAAAGTAAAATCTGTCACTGCCTCCATATCTTCCCTTCTATTTGCCAGGAGGTGATGGGATCAGTGGCCATGATCTTCGGGTTTTTTTATGTTGAATTGTTTGATGTTGAATTGTGTATACCTGTCTCTAAAGCATGGCAGATCTAGCACAAAAATATTTCATTTAAGTTGGGAAAAAGAGGACATTTTGATCTCTCTCTTTTTTTCCCCATTTGTCAGCTTCTACACGGGACCCAACAATGCACATGCACCACAGTACCCAGGTAACTGAAATAAATTTGTTGTTACATTTCTGAATATGTTCTTTCTAGGATCTTCCATGAAGTTTTCTGCTAGTGATATACAGTATTCTAATTCACTTGTTGGGATTCTGCTTAACTGTTAACTAGAGATTATCACAAATATGAGCCAACAGTGTGATGTGGCTACAAAAAAGGTAAATGCTCTTTTAGGCTGTATTAATAGGAGTATAGTTTCCAAATAGCTGCATTAATAGGAGTATAGTTTCCAAATACCACGAACTGCTAGTCCCCTGTGATGCAGCACTGGTTAGGCCTCACCTTGAATATTGTATCCAGTTCTGGACATTACACTTCAAGAAGGATGCTGACAAATTGGAACAAGTTCAGAGGAGGGTGGCAAGGATGATCAGAGGGCTGGAAGCCAAGCCTTATTAGGAAAGGCTAGAAGAATTGGGCATGTTTAGCTTTGACAAAACAAGTCTTAGGGGTGATATGATAGCACTTTAAAAATATTTGAAAGGCTGTAATGCAGAGGAGGGATGGGATCTCTTCTCGATCATCCCAGAGTGCAGAACACACAACAATGGGCTCAAATTACAGGAAACCAGATATTAGTTGTTGTACTGCTAACGCAACAATGGGCTCAAATTACAGGAAACTAGATATGACTTGTACTGCTCTAACCTATTAGAGCAGCACAACAGTGGAACCAGTTACCTTGGGAGTTGGTGAGTGCTCCAACACTGGAGACATTCAAGAGAAACTTAGACAACACGCTGGCAGATATCCTTTGATTTGTATTCCTGCACTGAGCAGGGGGTTGGACTTGATGGCCTTGTAGGGCCCTACCAACTTCACTATTCTATGGTTCTTGTTGCAATTGGCACAGTTCTGTGGATACTGAGAATTAGTGCTTTTTGCAAAAATCTGAGTGTTGTGTTATTCCTTAATTACATACCTGAGTGTTCATGACTTGAGAGAGGCTACTGTTATAACCGAAAATCCCCATAGGAAACATCGCTAAGTGAAACAATGTTTCCCCCAAGGGAAAGCCATTCAAAAGCACTGAAGCCGGCTTCAGTGCTTTTGAATGGCTTTCCCTTGGGGGAAACATTGTTTCACTTAGCGATGTTTCCTATGGGGATTTTCGCTTAAGGACGGCAATCCGTTCCCATTGGAACGGATTAACCGGTTTTCAATGCATTCCTATGGGAAATGGTGTTTCGCTTAATGATGTTTTCCCATAGCGATGTGGGGTTTTTTTGGAACCAATTAACATCGTTAAACGAGGCACCACTGTAATCCTTTCCGGCTGTTTTTGGTTCTTAGGTTGAGGGGCAGTTTGTAACTCAAATCATTACAGTTGTGCCCCGCTGGACGATTACCCCGCTCTATGATGAATCCGCTTAATGTTGAAGTTTTTGCAATCGCTTTTGCGATCGCTTCACGATGCTTAAATGGGTTTTTTTCGCTTAGCGATGATCGGCTCCCTGCTTCGGGAACCGATTTTTCAGTTTATGATGATCAGCAAACAGCTGATCGTCGGGTTTCAGAATGGCCACCAGCTGAAGAAAATGGCTTCCCACTGTGTTAGGAACAGATTCCTCGCATTACAGGCACCAAAAAATGGCCGCCGTATGGAGGATCTTCGCTGTATGAGCAGGTATTCAGCCCATTGGAACGCATAGAACGGTTTTCAGTGCGTTTCAATGGTTTTTTTTATTTCATTTGACGACGATTTCGTTCTACAGTGATTTCGCTGGAACGAATTAACGTCGTCAAGCGAGGCACCACTGTAGTTCCCGTAGGAACTAAATCAAAGATGGTTAATCTGTTCCTACCACTAGGGGCAGAATTTTTTCTTTTTTTCCCTTTTAACCTAAGATGACTTAGGTTTTTAAAAAAGGAAACAAAAGAGGGAGGGAAGGAGGGAACAGACACCTTTTCAACAGAACACCTTGAAAAGCACCTTTTCAGCCAAGACAATCACCTTCTGGGAAAAACCAAGCACGTTTCAGACAACAGGTCACCTTGAAAAGCACCTTTTAAATCAAGACAAGCCAATACAAGCATCTTTGGGGGGGGGAAGGGGGCAGCAAAGGAGGAAGGGAACACCTTTTAAAAATCCAAAAATTTAAAAAGAAACCAAAAAATAAAAATACAGTCCATACAGCAATGTATCAGGCAGTACCAGATAGTCTGAAGACTGTCTCCAAATCCACTCTCAAAACGCTGGGAAGAGCGAGGAAGGAGACAGGCACCCTCACTGGCCAATGGTTAGCTGAAAGTTCAAATTTAGCGCTTTCCCCACCTGTGCGTTTTTTTTCAGTTCGTAACTCCGAAATCAGATTGATTATATTCTCTGCAGCCAAAGATGGAGAAGTTCTATACAGTCAGCAAAAACAAGACCTGGAGCTGATTGTGGCTCTGATCATCAGCTTCTCATAGCAAAACTCAAGCTTAAACTGAAGAGAGTAGGAAAAACCACTGGGCTACTCATGTATAATCTAGACCAAATCCCTTATGAATACACAGTCGCAGTGAAGAACAGATTTCAGGAACTTGATATGGTGGACAGAGTGACTGAAGAACTATGGATTGAGGTTCATAACATTGTCCAGGAGGCAGCAACAAAAACCATCCGAAAGAAAAGGAAATGTAAGAAAGCAAAGTGGCTGTCCAATGAGGCATTACAAATAGCAGAGAATAGAAGGGAAACAAAATCCAAGGGAGATAGGGAAAGTTACAGAAAATTGAATGCAGGCTTCCAAAGAATATCAAGGAGAGACAAGAGGGCCTTCTCTGTATACTGTATTTATTTAAAATGGAGAAAAAGAATACAAAGGGAAAAAACCAGAGATATGTTCAAGAAAATTTGAGCTATTAAAGGAACATTTCGTGCAAAGATGGACATGTTAAATGGCTTTCAATGGAGAATAAAAAAATAACGAAAAATTAACGAAGACTCAGAACAACACCAAATTAAGTTTGCATAGTTTTCAGGAGGTGGGCTAACGATTGCAAGCATTTAAAACAGGTTTCAAGCAGTTTAAGACACTTTTACAGGAGCGAAAACAGACATCGTTGAGTGACAATCCCCCATAGAGAACATCGTTAAACGATGGGGGAAATTCCTCAAAGAAACCCAACGGTAAGCGAATTCTTCATTAAGTGAGGCAATCGTTAAGTGAGGCACCACTGTATGTTCAAGAAAATTCGAGCTATTAAAGAAACATTTCGTGCAAAGATGGACATGTTAAAGGACAAAATTGGTAGGGACCTCACAGAAGCAGAAGACGACAAGAAGGGGTGGCAAAAATACACAGAGGAATTATAACAGAAAGATTTGGATGCCTCAGACAACCAAGATAGTGTGGCTGCTGAGCTTGAGCCAGACATCCTGGAGAGTAAAGTCAAGTGGGCCTTAGAAAGCGTGGCTAACAACAAGGCCAGTGGAGGTGATGGCATTCCAGTTGACCTATTTAAAAAGATGACACCGTTAAGGTGTTACACTCAATATGCCAGCAAGTTTGGAAAACTCAGCAGTGGCCAGAGGATTGGAACAGATCAGTCTACATCCCAATACAAAA